AAAGTAATGTAGGGGCCTTAATGATTGGAATAAGGTTTCGGGGAAACTATACTCTACATATATATATATATATATACTTATATAGTTGTACTAAATAGTTGTACTAAGGAACCGCCAAAACATGGTATTGGTGATTATGTCGGCCCCTGTCTTAGATGGATGGGCCATGTCCTTTCCAGCAGAAGGCTAGCAAATACCTGGGGCCAAACCTCCCAGGAAAAGGAATAAACCTTGCCCTTTCTACGCACACCTTGATATCACATGAAGGCCGTGCTAGAAGTGCTTGCAGTTACTGGCAAAAGGCGTGCCTTTCACGCAGCCCTCATGAGCGACCCCACTGGCATCGAAAAGAAAGAAGTCTGTGTACGGTCTTTGCAAGGTCGATGCAGGGTGCATCTTCGTTTCAAACGGGAGTTTCTGAGAATCAGGCCGCTACATCCAGACTCCAAATAGTAGCGCCGTAGGCACCCACATTAAGAAACCCTGTGGCCCACCCGTTTGTCCTGTTGAAGGACTTGGGTGCGTGAAACAGTTCCAAAGATCTTCCAAGAACCCTGTTTCTAACACAGTCCCCTGTTGAGAAAGTTTCAGACGGGGTTTCGGGTTTTGCCAAGCCCAGCACCTTGTCCGTTCAGAATGAACTCGTTGGAGCCGGCCTAGTCCAAGGCTTTAGGGTGTAGAGAGTTTTTAAAACTCTTAGACAGGTAGGAAAGTTTAGGATTTACGGTTTAGGTTTAGAAAACTTAGAAAGTTTAGGGCTTAGGGGTTAAAGGCTCAGGGATTCCCCAACCCCCCAGAAACAGCTGAGCCCCGGTAAGACCCGGAACTCCTACATTCTAAACGCTAAACCCTAAACCCTAAACCCTAAACCCTAAACCCTAAACCCTAAACCCTAAACCCTCCCGACTCCCACCTTCCTGCGCCAGAAACTTTTGAACCTTCGGATGTCGGGGGGGGAATCGCAACTCCCGAGCCTTGCTCCTCGCGCTAAAACCCAAACCCTCAGTTTAGGGTTTAGGGTTTAGGGCTCTAGCCCAACATACCAAATCACAAAAACAAGACGGTTATCAAACACAATATTGAGAAGAATCTGAATGCGGACAAGAACAAAACAACCAAAAGCCCAGATACTTGAGGACACCAAACATGAACAACATCAATCGGAAGCCTCATCCGTCTCCCAGTGGTCGAAGGTGGAGGCTGCCATCCAGAAATTGCAGGCCTTCGGCGTAGGGTGTCTTGGGTTTAGGGTTTAGGAGGGGTTTGGGGGTTTAGGGTTGAGGATTTCAAGGCTTTTGTAAGGTTGAAACGTACGGGGTTTCGGGTTGAGGAGTTCAGGCTTCAGGGTTATAGGGTTTAGGTTTGTTGGTTGGGTTTGGGGTACCGGGTTCAGGGTTTAGGGTTTCAGGACTTCGGGGTTGGGGTTGAGGGCGCGGGGAGAACCATAGGGCTTAGGGCCTATAGGGTTTGGGGGAATGAGGGTTTCGGGTTTAGGGCGAGAAGACAAGAAGGTGTGCGCCTTGATCAGGGCCGTGTAAAAAGGGTTGCATAAGGGCTTTGTAGTGTGTTTCGGGTTTTAAAACCGTTTTCAAAAAGTTGTAGGCTGTTTTAGAGCATCTTTGGCCGGGCTTTATGGGGTCTGACTCCATGATTACGAGCAGTAATGCGATGGATTCCTTCGCGATGCCCAAGGAAGTCTCCAGATCCCTGCTTTGCGCCTCGAGCTGGTTGTACGTCAATGCGAAGTCGCAGGAAAGCCAGCCTTGGGTTTGGCGTTAGTTAGTAAGGGTTCCGAGAAGGGCTATATACTAGAAGGATCAGCACAAGGACTACTGCTACTGCGACTGCTACTGCGACTGC